TAACTCCATGAATAGGACTGTAATAGTTACCGTTACATCTTCAGCCGTTATCGACAATGGTAAGTGAAACGACAGTTATCATTAAAACTGCAACATGCCTGTAGCCTGCAGGCAGTTTAAAATGCAGGTGATCAGCTCTAGATCGAGAGTCCTTCTTATTGCATCTCCTTTAATTAATTCAGAAAATCCAGATTCATCAGATTTTTGTCTGGCTTTAACGTATCGTCGTATTCATGGATAGGACTGTAAAAGTAGTAACTGGAAAGACAGTTACTGTTGTTAACGGTAACTGTGTTTTCAGTTAGCGCTAAATCAACGCAACGGGAACTTTTACAGTCCTGTCCATGAATACGACGATACGTTAAAGCCAGACAAAAATCCGATGAATCTGGATTTTTTGAATTAATTAAAGGAGATGCAATAAGAAGGACTCTCGATCTAGAGCTGATCACCTGCATTTTAAACCGCCTGCAGGCTACAGGCATGTTGCAGTTTTAATGATAACTGTCGTTTCACTTACCATTGTCGATAACGGCTGAAGATGTAACGGTAACTATTACAGTCCTATTCATGGAGTTATACTTGATTAGAAGTGACATTTGATGTAGACTAATGAACGCCATCTTATAAAAAACCCATACTTACATTGCTCAACACTAGTTACTTATGATTATTCGATTTATGTGTACACGACTAGTTCACTTCAGAATAAAATGTCGTCTTCACCCTGTTCTTAATGAGAAGAATGTAGATAGTGATTCGATTATATTGAAAAGAAAGATTTAATCATACATCTATAGTACATTTATATACAATTATCATTGTTTAAATATTAATGATGTTTCTTCTTGTTCAATAGTATCAAATAGTGAACAATTTCTTTTCCATTGTACACTTGAAAAATGCCGATATGGTGTAATCTGAAAATATTTTGGGTTCATTGGATTATAAACTGACCATTTTTTTAATGGTCTTCCATTTGTCGCCATATGTATCCAATTTGCAATGATTTCATTTGAAAATTTTGTTGTCGGTTTATCCCAGGAACAATTCAATAGAGTATTTGACTTATAAGCACTTACAGTTCCAAAGACATATGGAAGTTCGGCAATATGCACACATACACCTCTACCTTCTTCTACAGACAGTTTTGGACATATTCCAGGATTACAATTTAAATGATACCAAAATAATTTTCTATTATGTTTATTCTTTATATACAAACCATTGTATATACGTTGAACAGGACAGTTATAGAATTTATCCATTAATAATAAACGAACAATATTACAACATCGATTTGGAGAATTTTTATTTGATGAACATTTTTCTAATTGATAATGTTTAGCAACTATCGTTAACCATTCTGGTTCTATGTTTGTTGATAAGTATGATATAGCATCGGTTGAATTCATATTGGGTGATTCAAAACAGACGGCGTCTTCATATTCATTATTACCCAAAATCATACTGATATTTGCATTATATTTTCCGTGTTTAATTGCCAATGGAGGATAAAATGGAAAGAAATACCCGTCAATAATGGGTGATGTTACTCGAGGACCATAAGCATTTATCAAATTTTGAATTGGCACATGACGTAAACATTTAAGATTTGAGCAATTAAGTTGTTGACTAATTTGATTTGATAGGGCTAGAGCATCAGTAACATTTGTATAAAACAGATAATTACCCGCGTCACCTGATTGAGATATAACATGATGATAAAGTCCATTTGATCCTTTCAATGCTCCTAGATCAACAACAGCGAGTCCACCAGAACTCTCACCGAACAATAAAACATTTTTATTATTGCCACCATAATCTCGAATATTTTTCTTAATCCAGCGTAATGCTGATAACATATCTAAATAAAAATAATTTCCGGCTGTGGGCCATTTTGATTTATTTTCTTTAACTAATTCATCCGAATACATAGCACCTAATACACCTAGTCTATAATTGATTGTTACAATAATCACCGGTTCTTGATGAGGCGAATTTGCGATCATATTTGTACCGTTATATAGTAGAGGTATACCTTGTGATGAACATCCTGATGCTAAGCCCCCTCCGTGAATAAAAACAAGAACAGGGACGAGATGCTTTGACTTTTTTAATGGTGTAAATACATTTAAATATAAACATTGTTCATCTTGTATCGGAATTAGTATTCCGGCAGGTACCTGAGGACAACATGGGCCGAATGATTTCGCATTAAATGCGCGATTTGAAAATTTTCTTGATGAGCGATCAACAGGGAGCTTCCATCTTCCAGCTTTAGCATACTGAATTCTAAAAGATATCATATACTTAAGAGTTGTATACTTACTTTGAACAGATATCGTCTTTATAGTTTCAAAAAAACGTCTGCCTATCGTACACGATGTCTTGGAATATTATTTTCAAAAACCAAGAACAACTGTCATCCGAATTTCTATTAAAAAATCCGAAATTAATCAGCTTACCCTAAATATTCATTTGAATATTGAGTTTTCCTTCCATTTATCACACCATTACGTGTTTTAAGTCCATCAATAGGAACTTCAAATATTAGCAAATAATAGATAAACCATAACAGTATACTTACGTGTAAGTATACCATGTTATTATCTTCACGTAATATATCTGCAAAATAATACTGATAAAACAATGAATAACACTTGGATAAATACGAGGATGCACAATGTCTTTGCATCGGTTTTTTTAAACATTGCTTTTTGCATCTGATTCATAAAGAAAATTGGGAGCGCGATAAGAAGGACTCTCAATCCTATTTCGAATGAAGGCGATTGGTATCAAGAATGAAAGAATAGACAATTTTCTATGAATCTATCCTTTCCATTTCCATTCAAAGTTGATATTTGTCGAGCAACAGGCTGACTTTTGTGAACATGTTTTTAGTATGCCCTACCCGTCAGCTTAAAAAAGTAACGAACCACATAAAATGAACATCTATGG